GAAATGAAGATATTTATTGTCATAAAAGTGCGTTCGTATCCTTCTTAAATATTCTGATATAAATCATAATAAGATTTCAAAATTGCAAATTGAATTTTATAATCCTCTGATAATTGAAAATTTCATTTGATTTCTATGCACTCGAGTATATTTTTTTAATCCAACAGTAAATATCGACATTAATCCAAATCATTTTCATTTCAATAAAACATTAAATTATTTCTATTGAAACAATCAATTAAATCTCTGTAGAATACAAGTGTGAGGACATAACAAAGAAAACAACAAACTTTGATCTACATCTGATTGGAAATAATTGTAAACTTCTCGATATGTTTCACATATTTACATTTGATTTTAATTTTCGCGCAGCTTTGTCTATTTCTGTTCTGTGTGCCATTGTCTTCATGAGAAATTTCATTTCATTTTAATCGAGTATTCGATTATTGAAATCAAAAGAAAGATGTGATTATGTACAATCGTCTTACCCATGCGTATTCTTTCATTCGCATAGAATAAATGTTAAAATCGATATCAGTTAAATAAAGAAGATAAAACTGTTTAAATGGCAAAAGATTTGAATGAAATACTCAAATAAGTACTATTTTCATATGGGCGTCATTTCGATCAAAATGTTGAGTATATTCCTGATATTCTCGTTCGTACGCACCGTATCTAAACGTGCTATGAGAACGAAAAAATGTAACCGATGGCAATGAATTCTTTTCCCTTCTTTTTATAGTAATGGTTGTCGTTTCAGCGACGTTATATTCAAGAAAGAAATGAAACTAAAGTAAGCAGGGCATCAACAAAACAAGAACAACGTGTTATTCTCGTTACTGATACGAATAAAAGTATTCGATTTGAAATTATTAAAAAAAACTTGTTCAAAATTGATCTTCAAACAATGATCTGATTTTACTCGATAGTCGTGATTTAAAACGTGATCAAGATGCAATTCAACAAATGAAAACAAATGATTATGAACCTAAAATGACTAATAAATCTTTGTTTCCAATAATGAATGTGAAGCACCTATTGTTTTAACAAAAATAGAGGCACATCAATGGTCAAATGAAAAAACTATCTTATTTATCGCGGCATGTCCAAATAAACTCATCAAATCTCATAAGTGTTGATAAAGATTCAGGACAGTCCGATATATAAGAGAATAAAAATGGTCACATCAGATTGTTTTCCAGTCGATTTTCATTACGTTTATCTTTTTCAATATAATCTCAACGAGAATTTGAAAGAAAGATCAAGATTTTTTTAAAAATTCTGCTTTGTCATTCTCAAAGAAAACAAAATGAAGATCTTCAATGATATAAACATGATTAGTTGTTATATCGTTTATGAAATCGAACATTATGAAATAAAGATTTCCATACAATTCCATTTATAATTAAAGAATGAGACGAAGAACATTCATTAAAATCTCAAATTATTTCTCTTAATAAATATTCAAAAGATGTTATTAACTATGAAAGAGATATTGTGGATTCTCCATGATTTGTAGATCTACTAATGACTCGATAGAAAAATCAACAATTAATCATTATAGTAAAACAAAATATTTTCAAGAATTCTTCGTTACATTAGAAATAAATGTATTTATTAAAATTTCAATTTTTTTTATAAAAGAACGTCTCGAAATAACATTTTATTTTCCTTTTCTTCATTTATTTTTCAAGATATAACAAAATACGTGAATGTTTATTTATATTTAAACTCGAATTAGACCACAGCTCGTATATACATATTATATACTGGGCTTTCCCACACCTGATGTCATCTTATTTATTCTCGTATCGAGTGACAAATCAATATGACGATATGTGGGCGAAAATCGATCAACCGTTCTCCCCATTCGTTTTGCTTCTATCATAGAGACGTAGAAAGAAAAAAAACGTATATATATCTCGATAATCTAAGTATGAAGATTTCTAAACATAGTTGTAGATAAAGAACAGAACATATGAAGAGTCTAAATACACATAAATGTCAATTGATCACTTTCATCGATATATCTTTTTTTGTTTAAATAGGATTGGGAACAATTTTATAAATCAAAATCATTCATAATTAAAGATGTTCGAGTTAAGTAATCGAATCTCTGACGCGCTGGAAGATGTTGACATGTCTGGAAAAAGTCGTTCTGCTATTTCTCAATTACGTTTAGTAATTCCTCATGACGCGTATGTTATTTATAAATCAATCATTCTTAATCGAATTTATTCGATATTTTTATTTAGAATTTCTTTTCCAATCAATGAAGAATCATCAAGAAAAAGTGTCACTTTTCGAAAATTAGTAATTAAATTCTGATTTGTTCTTCAATAGAAAGTTCATTTCTATAATTGAATATGTTAGATGCGATTCGCTCGACCTCTTGACGTATTTCTGATAATTATTGGTACATTGGCAGCTCTTGGTCACGGTTCCGCTCAACCATTACTTATTTTAATTTTTGGAAGTCTTATTCAAATATTGATTAATCAAGAAAATAGTTCATGTTCACTTAATCGAACTGTTTTAGTTCAACAGCCTTGTCCTTCAAATAATACGTACGTAATCAATGAAAATGGAAATATTTGACTCGTTCTCATTATTTCAGTCAATGTGATTCTTCTTTGACAAATGTCAACGAAGTTCGTCTCAATCTGAGCAACGACGCATATCAAGTATCACTTTATATAGTTGCCATCGCTTGTGGTGTCATTGTTCTTGGTTATATTCAAGTGTCATTTTGGAATATGTCAGCTCAACGACAAATATGTTTAATTCGAAAGAAACTCTTTCAAGCAATTCTTTATAAAGAAGTGCCTTTTTTCGATGTACATAGAACAGGAGAACTGAGCACATATTTAACAGATAATATTAACAAAATTCATAATGGAATAGGAGATAAATTTTCTCATGGAATTAAATATTTCGCTTCATTTATCACAGGTGTCATCATTGGTAAGTAGATGTTTGTCTTTTCATCAATACTGAACAATGAAATTTCATGTAGGTTTCGCTAAAGGATGGAAATTAGCATTGGTTATTTTATCATTTTCACCATTACTTTTCGGTATGGCAATGTTATTTTCTAAAGTAATGTACATTTTGCATCTTTATTTTGATTCAAAGTTCGAATATAAATGTTTTAGTTTGCAGTTAGTTTGACAATAATGGAAGCGAAATCGTATGAGAATGCAGGTGCAATTGCTGAAGAAGTTTTCAGTTCGATCCGTACGGTTTTAGCTTATAATGGACAAAATCGAGAAAAAGAACGGTTCGTATTTTAAGATAAGATTAAACAATGCCAAATCGAACTATTTTTCATTTTATAGTTATGCAAAAAATTTAAATGAAGCAAAGAAAAGTTCTGTTCGGCGAGGAATAATCAATGGTTTGACCATGGGTTTTATGTGTTTGGTTATTTATTGTGGTTATGCATTAGGTAATTTACATGAAACTTCTTTGAAAATGTCAATTGGAATTTTTCTACGAAGGATTTTGGTATGGAACAAAATTAACATTTGAAAAAGAATACGATATTGGAAATGTTGTTATTGTAAAAGAAATTCATTTCTTTTTGTTTTCTTCAATTAAGTGAATTGAAATTTTTAGGTATTTTTTGCGATTATTAATGCTGTTTTTGATTTGGGTCAAGCTTTTCCACAATTTCAAGCAGTTATCGAAGCACGAACAGCTGCTTATCCTATTTGGCAATTGATCGATGACGTAAAAGAAATAATTGAAAATCTTTTTCTTTAAATTTTGTTGTTTCTTTTTCTCCTTTCAAAGTTTTTTATCATTGAAAATTCTTTGAATGGAGGTATTATCAAAGATGAATTGACAGGTGATATTCAATTCTCAAATGTTTGTTTTCATTATCCATCTCAACCTAATTCACCAATACTTCATGATCTTTCATTTAATGTTAAAGCTGGACAAACAGTTGCATTAGTAGGCACTTCTGGTTCGGGAAAATCGACGTGTCTTCAATTATTACAACGATTTTGGGAACTTAATTCAGGTTCAATTACGATTAACAATATTCCAATAAATGAATATAATTTAAAATGGTTACGAGAACACATTGGTGTTGTCAGTCAAGAACCTGTTTTATTTCATGGAACAATTCGAGAAAATATTTTACTTGGACGACAATCAGCTACCGATGAAGATATTCGTCAAGCAGCTAAAATGGCCAATGCACATTCTTTTATTATGACATTACCTGATGTAAAAAGACATTACAAATATCATTAGATATATATTTTTCTTATTGTTCTTTCTTTTAATAGAAATATGATACTTTAGTAGGTGAACACGGAGCTGCTTTATCAGGTGGACAAAAACAGCGCATAGGTAAAATGAAAATCTTGTGTTCAAATCTATTTTTTCTTTTTCAATCTTGATTTATTTAGCTATCGCTCGAGCATTGATTCGAAATCCTTCCATATTAATTCTTGATGAAGGTTCTTTTATTTCTTATCATATCATTCTTTTCAAATAGAATCGTTTTTTTCTTCTTAGCTACAAGTGCTCTTGATAATGAGAGTGAAGAGGTTGTTCAAAATGCTTTAAATAATGCTACTAGATGTATGTTGAAAGATTGATCAATTTTCAAATATTCGATCTCATTTTTTTCAAATGATTAGATCGAACAACATTGGTTATTGCTCATCGTCTATCAACGATTCGAAATGCAGATAAGATTATTGTTATAAAGAATGGTAAAGTTGTTGAAGAAGGTAATCATGATCGATTAATGTCCATCAATGGTATTTATCATGATCTTGTCAAACAACAAAGTTTATCAAAAGAAAAAGAAGAAGAAGAAGACAAATTTGAAAGACAAGAAATAATACGAACTCTATCAGAACAACGAACCAGATTTGAACGACTTCGTGCTTTAAGTAGTTGTGCATCATCGATATTGGATGTATCGATACTTAAAGAATTACAAGAAATTGATCCTGAAGAGACTAATGTTGAAAAATCGAAGAAGAAAAAAGTAGGAAAATTTACAAGAAATTCAATGTTTGAAAAAAAAACCAATTGTATTCTATAGGATAAAATCTCTAATATAACATTAACTATATTGAAAATGAATAAATCAGAATGGATATTTATTCTATTTGGATGTTTAGCAGCGATATGTAGTGGAGGTATTCAACCATTATTCAGTGCTATTTTAAGTGAATTAATTGCAGTATGTTTAAAAAAAACCATTCTAATGTGATAATAATTGATTTCGTATAAATGAATAGGTTTTTCAACAATGTGAAAACAATGATCCAGAAAGATCTGTACGTATTTATGTTATTTTATTTATTGTTATTGGAATTTCTCGTTTTATTGCAATGTTCTTCCAAGTAAATTAGTTTTTCAACATAAATATCATCATTCTATTCGTTTTTCTTTTGATATAGAATTATTTATTTGGTTATTCTGGTGGAGCATTAACTAAACGATTACGTTTAGAAATCTTTTCACATATACTTCGTCAAGACGTCGCTTATTTTGATCAATCCGAAAACAACACTGGAGCATTATGTACACGTTTATCAACTGAAGCATCAGCAGTTCAAAATGCTACAGGTGTTTTTCTTGGGATTATACTTCAAAATTTCTCTTCAATTGGTTTATCAATTGTCGTTAGTTTTATCTTTTCTTGGCAAATGACATTAATTGTATTAGCATTTATACCATTCATTGTCATTGGTGGATCATTACAAAGTCATCTGACCGGGAGATTTGAAAATAAAACAAAGCAAATTTTTGAAGACGCTGGAAAAGTAAAATATTCTTTATTTATCCAAGAAAACTCTTTTCTTATTGTTTATTTCAAACAGATTTCAATGGAATCAATACAAAATAGACGTACAGTAGCATCTTTAGCTGTCGAAGATCATATTTCTGCAAAATATTTCGAATTAATTGATAAATCCTATGCATTATCATTCAAACGATCTCATCTTCTGGCAATAATCACATCGATATCGAATTCTTTCATATTCTTTTGTTGGGCTGCTCTTTTTTCGACTGCTGTTTATCTCATCGATAAAAAGTTTGTTACATTTCAAAGCGTATTATTGTGAGTTATGATGAATTCATTCGATTGAAATCAATTCGGATTCATTTATAGAGTTGTAAATTGTGTTATATTTGGTGTTCAAAGTTTAAATGAAACTTCATTAATGTAAAATTCATATTGAACACGTTTGTTCTCATTGACAAAGAATCTTTTATAATTCAGGTCATCTGATTACGGTAAAGCAAAACATGCAGCAATGAATATTTTAAAATTCCTCTCTCGAAAACCACTCATTGATAATGAATCAAATGATGGGGAAACAATTGTGAGTCTATGGAATTTATTGAGAGAAATAATCATTTGTTTTCTCTTTTTATGATCAATGATAATTCTAGGAGAATTTTCGTGGTGAAATTGAGTTTGATGGTGTATATTTCATTTATCCGAATAGACCAAATGCAATTATTCTCAAAAATTTCAATCTCAAAGTTGAAGCTGGTAATAGTTTAAATCTTAAATTGTATTTTATATTTCTTTCTATGTGTAATTTTAGGTAAAAAAGTAGCATTTGTTGGTAAATATGTTCTGTTATTATTCGTTGAAATCCACATGAACGATTTATGATCTTTTTTTCAGGTATATCTGGTTGTGGAAAGTCAACAAGTATACAATTAATTGAACGTTTCTATGATTCTGGAATTGGACAGTTGGTAATACGAATTGAAATGCCTTATTTTTTCTTACAAATTTACTTTTATTTAGTTGATTGATTCAAAAGAAATTCAAACACTTAATTTACAATGGTATCGATCACAACGTAAGTTTTTCTAAAGAAAAGCTTTTTCAAACAAATCTATTGTTTTCTTTTATAAAGTTGGTATTGTTTCACAAGAGCCAATTTTATTTAATACCTCTATTCGAGATAATATTGCATATGGTGATACAAGTCGATGTGATATTCCTCTAGAGGAAATTATTCAAGCAGCAAAAGATGCAAATATTCACGATTTTATTCAACAACTTCCAGAAGTAAAATGAAATATGGATTCGATGAATTTCTTTATCGATATTCTTCTATTAGGGATATGAAACGATTTGTGGTTCGAAAGGAAATCATTTATCAGGTGGACAAAAACAACGAATCGGTAGAAAATTTATTTGATACAAAGCGAGTTTTTCTTGTTTTATTTAAAAATATTTTTCTTTAGCTATTGCTCGAGCTTTAATTCGAAATCCAAAGATACTTTTATTGGATGAAGGTAAGAAAATCAAAATGAACGAATTGTTTGTTTAACTAATCGAATGATGATTTCTATTTTCTTTAGCAACCAGTGCGCTCGATAGTGAAAGTGAAAAAATCGTTCAGGAAGCATTAGATAAAGCTCAACAAAATCGAACATCGATTATAATTGCACATCGTCTATCAACAATCCAAAATGCAGATTTGATTTGTGTTATACACAAAGGAAAACTTGTTGAAAAAGGTACTCATGACGAATTAATTGCACAGAATGGACGATATTATCGATTAGTTCATGGAAAAGTCCAGTGAAAGACGTTTTATCAGTACTTCGTTTTATGTAAACTGTTGTTTCTAAGTTAAAAAAAATATGTTCAGTTCATATGTTAAATATTGTAAATGAGATTGATACCAAGTTTCCGTCTAAAGTTCTAATCATGAGATTTTCTTCATATTTCCTCAACTGTAAGGAGGATCGTACGACTTTTAGTACTTGTGTGGTATTAACAATGTATATGAACAAAAAACATTTGAATTGTTTCCTCGTGAGTAAAGTTATTTGATCAATTCCTCTCAGAATTGGGACACGAAAAAGAATATTTGTCCTCCTAATCGAGAGCTGAGTGAGTTGGCATGACGAGCGTTACTTGTACTTGTTTGACGAAATTCCATCACAATGAACGATTCAATTAATCGTACTCTGAGCCTCGGGAAGAAAAATGAGAAGTCTTTTTGAAATATTTTTTTGATGACAGCTGAGTCATATCGAACTTACACCTACATCATCGAGATGAGGACATTTTTGTAAGCGCAAAATAACTATTATTTCTGTTGCACTCTCTGGGTTTTATGTAATCCCCACTAAAATTAGAGACTCTATTCATAGTAATATTCCCATATCTTGATTGTACGCATTATGCGTCATTATTCCCATGTCCCCATATATTTTTCTACCTGTATTTTATCTGTATGACGTGTACTCCTCTGCGTTTGATTATACTCACCGTTCATCTAACGCGATAAAACCTTGGTATATATTACAAAAACGAATAGACGAGGCGGAGTACAGTGAATATAAATATGATTGCAATCTCTCTACAACATCATATTTCTTCTATAGTGATTTGACTGTTCAGAGCCTTACTGGCTCAAATAATCTAAAAGAAGATAAAGAATTTCTCCCGTAATTCATTTGACGTAGACCTATTCTTTGTTTTAGATCTCAAAATTTATTACACTTTCTTCATTTTCTACTTTACACAACATGACTTCCGAAGTTATTTCTCAAGAACCAATAGCTATTGTTGCTATGGCATGTGAATTTGCTGGAGACATACATTCGGCAACCGATTTATGGAATGCCTTGGAAAATAGCAAAGACGTTGGCAGTGTTGTCTCACCGGAACGAGCTGATATTGCATCGTTTAGTGCTCATATGCTCAACCAAGATAAGGATGGTCAACTTAACAAAAGTTTAATTCGTCGAGGCTACTTTTTGTCGAATAATCAATGGGACACTTTCGAACAAAGTTTTTTTGGTCTTTCCAGTAACGAAGCTCTTAGCATTGATCCAGCACATCGTCTATTAATGCTCAAATTCGTGCATTTAATTGAAGATGCGGGATATACCATTGAAAAGATGTACGGTTCACGTACATCAGTACACGTCGGTCAGTTCTCTACCGATCAGGCACTGACAGTATCTCGTTTGAAACCAGAATTTCGATTACGATCACATGGACCAAATGCAAGTCTCTACAATGCTGCTGCTCGTCTTGCATATCATTTTAATTTGATCGGTCCTAATGTATCTCTCGATGTCGCTTGCTCATCATCACTGGAAGCTGTTCGTCAAGCTGTACAAACTCTTCGAGCGTATGAAGCAGACATGGCCGTCTGTGGTGGTGTCAACGCTGTCTATACGCCAGAAAATCTACTCAGTGGCTCATTGATTGGTGCTCAATCACCCGATGGACGAAGTCGATCATTTAGTATTGACGCAAATGGTTACGCCAAAGGTAATAATACATTCATCGTTGTGACAAAGATTGTATTTCAATAATCTGTTTTAGGTGAAGGTCTTGGTCTTCTCTTACTCAAACGGCTGAGCGATGCCGAGCGTGATGGTGATCGAATCTATTGTGTATTGCGCGATGTTCACAGTCATCATGATGGAAGTGAAGGCAAAAGTAATTTCGTTGTTCCATCTGGTATTGGACAGGAACGTCTTCTCGCTGACATTTACAACCGAAGCAAAACAGATCCGAAACGTGTTTTCTATGTTGAAGCTCATGGTACAGGTACACCAGTAGGTGACCCAATTGAAGCAAATACATTAGGCCGTTTCTTTGATCGTTCACCACTCGATCCTCCACTACTCATTGGATCTGTTAAAAGCAATCTAGGGCATACAGAAGGTGCAGCCGGTGTTGCTGCATTGATAAAAGTGGCCATGTGTATGCGCCATCGTGCTATTCCACCAAATATGCATTTCACAGCACTCAATCCAAAAATTGAAGCGCAACGGTACAACCTTCATGTTGTTCAACATTATGTGCCATTTGCACCTATTACACACGATCCAACTATCGTAGGTATCAATTCTTTTGGTATGGGTGGAAATACAACACATGCCATTATCGAAGAATATCGACCGAAACAGAAAATTGTGTCAAATGGATTCCTTCGAAATCATGATGAACACAATGAGAATGAAGTCAAACAACCCTTTCTTTTCCTCTTCTCAAGTAAGTTCAGATGTTTTCGTTAATATTCATGTGTAATATTTTCTTGTTTTATTTAGCCAAAAGTCACGAATCACTTGTCAAACAAGTTGTTCGATTCAATCAATGGTTACGAGAAAAATTTAACAAGCATACCAATGATTCTGATGCCTTCCTTGCTCATGTATCCAAGCAACTTCTTCTCAAACGTACAATTAGCTATGAACATTTAGCCATTTTTGTAGCAGCTGATTATACACAGTTACAGGATCAAATAGATACTTTTCTTGTTCAAAAGAGTATATCTGGACTTTTCCTTACTACTCGTCCAATTTTACCATCGAGAAAAATTTGTTTTGTCTACAGCGGTCAAGGACCTCAATGGTGGGCAATGGGCCGCCAACTATACAAGAACGAGCCTGTTTTTCGTCAATGGATCGAACGAATCGATATCGAATTAACAAAAATTAATACAGATAATTGGCGATTGTTAGATGAACTTATGAAGACAAGTGATGAGAAAGCATCTCGTATCAATGATACAAATATTGCCCAACCAGCATTGTTTGCTATTCAAGTAGCTCTGACTGCCCTTCTCAATTCATGGCAAATCTTTCCTGATGCCATTATTTCACACAGTGCTGGAGAACAAGCAGCTGCGTTTGTTTCAGGCCGTCTCACATTACAGGAAGCGATCCGTCTTGTTTATCATCGATCACGTCTTCAGAATCGTAATACACGTCAAGGTGGTCGAATGTTGGCCGTCTCGATGAGTGAACAACAAGTGAAAAATGATCTTCTGAAAGGTATAGAACATCTTGTCTCCATTGCCGTCATCAATAGTCCCCGATCAGTAACATTGAGTGGCGACGAAGCTACCATCGATGAATTACAACAAATTCTCACGACATTTCATCCAAATGTGTTCAAAGCACGACTTCGAATTGAAAATGCTTTTCATTCTCATCAAATGGATCGATTTAACGTTCAAAATGAAATGCTTTCAGCACTGGAAAATATTTCCGGTCTTCCTTTACAAGATCCACAAGAAATGTTTAACATACAATGTAGTAAAGCTCGGCTATACTCTAGTACTCATGGTGGATACATAGATAATCATACAGCAACTAATGCTCAACATTGGTGGAAGAATGTTCGAGGATGTGTTCGATTTTATGATGCAATGACAGAACTCATTCAAGAGAGTGCTGCAAATATCTTTCTTGAAATATCTCCACATCCAGTACTCGCCACATCGATTGATGAATGTTGCCAATCACATTCATGGAATCGACTCATTCTACCAACATTGAAACGAAAGGAAGATGAACAATCAACTTTACTGACAAGTCTTGCTCAACTCACTTCATCATCTATTGTCTGGCAATCTTATCTCGAATCTCGTCAAATTCGATCAACTGATATTGACAGTGAACTCTTTGAAACATTTCCATTATATGCGTTCAATACAACACCTTGCTGGTATGAATCGAAAGACTCAGTTATTGAACGTCTCTCTTACCGTCTTCCCAGTCATCCACTCTTGGGCATTCGTCAATGGACTCAACAGACGAATCCAACATGGAAAAGTCTCATTAACATCAATCTTTCTCAACAAGCTTTCTTAAAAGATCATAAGATTCAAGATGCTATCTTATTTCCAGCCAGTGGTTATATTGAATTAGCATTAGCTGCCTGTCGACAACTACTTTCCACAACTAACGATATTCAGTCCGTGATTATCTTCGAACAAGTTGAATTCATGAATGCTCTTGTTCTTACGGAACATGAATTAACAGAAATATTCACTCAAATAATCATGCCAATGCGTGAATGGTTTATATATAGTCGACCATGGACATCAGCCGGACAAGATTGTGTTCGAACATCTGGAATGTCAGGCGCTGATATTCTCAAATCATTTACCGATCCAGAATCGCTTAGTCAACATTCATTAAATGAATTTACACTTCATGCTCGAGGTCAAATTCATATTAGTGATGACAAACAACAATTACCTCTTCTCACAGATGTTTCCTTAGATCGTGACTTATATTCTGCACTTGACTCAAATCATGTGTATACACATTTAATGTCACGCGGTTATCAGTATGGACCTTCATTTCGATTGATGCAATCACTTCAAACCACTCAATCAACGGTTGAAGGTGAAATAGATTGTAGTGTATGTAATGAAAATGATACTCTACGTTATCATCTGATTCATCCAGCTGTTCTCGATGCCTGTTTACATCCCGCTTTGGCTTTATTACCAGGAACTTCGACTACTTTTATTCCTGTTTCGATTAACAAGATAACTATACTCGGAGAAACAACAATGTTTCATTCACCTATACAAGTACGTGCAGCCTATCATAATAACATTTGTGGCGTGGCCAAACAGAAGACGTATGAATTCGATTGTACAATTTGTTCAAATGACACCGAAACAAAGGAACCCATCGTTACTTTTGATCGTATCACAATTCAACAAGTCCACGGTTCACAATCAGGTCGATGGGCATCAGATACGTCTGTCTTCGATAAATTAAATGTATCAGTAGATTTACCAAATCAAGATCTCACAACTCATCTACACACAGTTATGAATAATTATTGTCTCAAAACCGCGTGGAATGACGGAACGATGAGAATTGGTGTCGCTGATTTACTTCCATCACCAAAGGACATCATCAAAAGTAATCTTAGTTCTACTGGCGTTGACGATCTCTTTGAATCTATTGAAGCATTAAATCAATTAGCTGCATATTATGCTCAAATAGCACTTGTAGATTTAACACTCGATCCAATTCAAGAACAGAAACAAGAATCACTTTTAGCTGCATGTCGTTCTCTTAGTTTTCATTCGAAAATAAAGGCGACATTTCATTCGGCTCAACTCTATCTGATGCAATTGATGCAACAATTTCCACGTTTGAAACCAATTCTGACTGTTTTAGCAGCTTGTGGACGAAATCTCCGACAAGTTCTCACCGGAGAACAAGATGGAATCGAAGTACTGTTGGGTAATGATGAGATGAAAACCATTCTACAAGAAATGCAATCACTCATCTCTTCTCATCAAACATATTTTATTTTTGATATTCTGAAACGATATCTTCAAGAAAAGTCGGGCACATTACTAACTCAACGCAAAATTCGAATATTCTGGTTGGCTAGTGGCAACAGTTCAGATGATCTACGTGTTCTGCATCTTCTACTCGACTTATCACGTCAAACAGATCTATCAATTGATATTAACTATACAAATCCAAATTTAAATCTACTTGAACAAGTGACAAAGACATTCAATACGTATTTGGAAGATCAAACTCGCGTGTGTGTCATTTACGATGATCAATTTGACTTGTTCGACAATGAAAATAACAAGAAATTAATCGTTGAATCATACGATATTGTATTTGGTGCTAATAAGTTGCAAGGTAATGAAAATTTACCCTACGCACTTACTATTCTACGTCAATTACTCGTTCCTAATGGCCTTCTTCTTCTACTTGAATTAACCAACGCTCCGCTCTATTTCGATATGATCTATGGCTTAATCGATGAATGGTGGTCTTCAATTGATGGTCGACGTGCCCTACTTACAATGAATCAATGGACGAAGGCTGTACAAGAGATAAATGGATTTGAAACCGTTGAAACACGGAATAGTTCATTTGGTAATTCACTTATTGCCGCTCAAAAATCGACATCGTCGAAGATTTTATCTACGCTCGAAGAACGACAACGGCAAGCATGGCTAATTTTCGCCGATGATAACACACCGAGTATTGGCAATGCACTTCAATCTCTCTTACCATCGGTTAATATCACTTTATTACATCGATCTAATTCAAGTTTTGAAAAGATTTCCTCTCAAATCGAAGAAATGATGGCAACTTATGAACAAGTACATATCGTCTTTGGTTGGTCATTAGATCAAAAATTGATCAACGATGACACTGATATAACATTTGAACAACATCAGGAACAGATCTATGGTATTTTTATTCGTATTTTACAAACAATACAAATCAACGAGCCACGATTGCATCCATTTGTATTTGTTCTGACACGAAACGCTCAACCTGGCGCAGGCAACGCTCTCAATCCAATCGGTTCACCACTTGTTGGTCTTGTACGTAGTCTTGCTCTTGAATATGATCAACATCGGTTAAAGCTTATTGATTTACAATCCAGTTTATCACCAGCGACCATCCCATCGCTTGTTCATGCACTTGCCAAACATCTAATCACCTCACAATATGCGAATGATCTCGATGAAATTGTTCTTCGTCACGATACACAAAGCGATACAATTCATCGAATGCAATGGCACTATGAAATGCTACAAAATGAACAGAATAGAAACGAAACATCAAAAGACGAATCAACAACAATTATCCCATTTAAAGATGCTGATCGGCAACCATTTCGCCTACAAGTCTCTTCATCTCGTTTTCTCGATGATTTAGCCTGGGTACCTGAGGCAAAGAAAGATCGACTACCTGCTGATAAAGTCGAAGTTCGTATTCATTGCGTTGGTGTTAACTTTCGAGATGTGCTTAAATCGAGTGGTCGCTATCCATACGTGCGTCCATTTGCTCAAACAGACAATGCTCAACCGAAGGTAGATCGTGATACCGAACCTGGTATTGATTTTCTGGGCACAGTTGTACGCACACATCCAAACGCAAATGTTCAAGTTGGTGATCGTGTTCTAGGCATGGCGCCGGGAGTCTTTCATTCGCACGTACATTTGAGTCTCGGCGAATATGTTCGCATTCCAAGTGAATGCAATCATTTTACTGATGAACAATTAGCAGGATTGCCCAACGCTTGTATGACTGTACTCTACTCATTAAAATATCGTGCAAACTTACAACCTGGTCAAACTGTACTTATACATGCAGCAACTGGTGGTGCTGGTCAAGCGTGTATACAATATTGTCAGGCGATTGGCGCGCGCATTTTGGCTACTGCAGGTACTGAAGAGAAACGAGAATTTCTCCGTGAACATTACGGCATCGAACATGTATTCAATAGTCGAGATCTTTCGTTCGTTAAAGGAGTACGTGAATTACTACCAAATGGAGTAGATATTATTGTGAATTCTCTGTCGGGCTCTCTTCTTCAAGAATCAATCAAATTACTTAAATCACAAGGTCATTTTATTGAATGGGGAAAACGAGACATATTTGACAAGAAGCATTTGTCTATGTTCGATTTACGTGATGATTGCAGTTTTCATGTTATTGATATTACTTCACTCTATGTTCATCGTCTTGACATCTTTGGACGGTTAATTGAAGAACTCTTGGACTTGACTATCAAAGGCATTTTTAAACCAATTGAACCAACAAAAGTTTATGAACCATCCAATGTCATTAATGTCTTCAAACAATGTAACAGTGGTCGAATGAGTGGTAAATGTGTTCTTCGTCTTGCTAATTCACAACAATCATTACAATTAAACTGCCAAAAACTTGCATCATCAACGGAAGGTAGGATTCAGTCTTTTGATTTGTTCCTTGTTGATAATAATTCTCTTTTCTTCTTTTTATCATAGAAAAAGATTTAATGTTTCCATACGAAGTTTGCCATCAAGGTACGATTCTAATATCCGGTGGCTGCGGTGGTCTCGGCCTGACGATGTCTCGATGGATGATAGAAAAACGCGGTGTTAAACGTTTAACACTCATGAGTCGCCGGCCACTCGCTCATATTGAACAAGTAAGCAACCCTGAATACGACGAATGGCAACGATTACAACAAGCTGCAAAGAATTACGGTGCTCATATTGATGTGGTTCAAATCGACGTGACCAAATATGAAGATGTCTACAATTTAATCGAAAAACTTAGTCAAACATCTTATCCTGTCCGTGGTATTATTCACAGTGCCGTAGTGCAAGAAGATCGAAGTTTAGCTAAATTATCTGCAGAAAATTTCACGCGTGTCTTAGGACCAAAAGCTCGCGGTGCTTGGAATCTTCATCAAGCGTCTAAACTTGCTGCTCCTTCACTTCACTTCTTTGTACTTTTCTCGTCAATTCGTAATCACATGATCGATTTAGCATCCGCTGGTTATAATGCCGGCAATCAATTTCTTGATATTCTTGCTCACTATCGTGCTGAACAACTCCATTTACCTGCACTCTCAGTTAGTTTGCCTGCAGTGAGTGGTGCTGGTATGTTTCATCGTCATCGAGAAGTATTGACGAGTTTACAACGTACATCCGGTTTTGAACTGGTACCAACAGTTGGTGTATTTGAATTGATCGATCAATTTCATGTTAATCAAAAGAATTGTCCATGTCCAATAATTTTTGCTGCCAATTGGAAACAATTGTATGAGAATCGAGAGAAATTGGTGACACATCAATTACGGGAAATCGTCATAGAGCAAAATAAACTTGCAAATGACTCAGTTACCTCCGCAAATTCATCAGATCATATCAATCCATCCGATTCCAGTTATGATTGTTTAGAAACTCTTGTCGAACGAATACAAACAACCGTTTCGCGGCTCTTAGGTGCAAGTACTAGTGAACAGATCTCTGTAGATCGTTCACTTGTTAGTCAAGGTATGGATTCATTAGCTGCCGTCTCACTTTACAATTGGTTAGGACAAGAGACGAATGTTTTTATTCCGTTAGCTGATCTTCTGCAAGGAATTTCAATACAAATTATTGCAGAACAAGTGCATAAAAAACTCCATGCAGAAAAGCATAGTGACACTCAAGCAACTGACGATGAATCGGAGCTATCGATCGATTCGGTTACAGATAATGATATCGATTCATCAAAGAATTTAACTTACACTGGTATAGAGAATATTGTATGTATACAACGTCCAACTGATTCGGAATGTCCCATTATATTTTGTACCTCATCAAACGCGCCTTCCGACACATTGCTAAGGAAACTATCCGGAAATAAGGATAGTCTATCACCAGTGGCCATTTACACTATTAACACACCGGAAACATCGTTGACGAAAGATATGAAAAATATGGCCAATACGATGGTATCTCAAATGCGTCGGATTCAACCATATGGACCTTATACATTGGTAGCAACAGCTGGTGATGAAGAAGAGGAAATGTTCGCTCTTGAAATGAACAAACAACTCAAACGACATTCAGTCGACTCGACCATTGAACTGCTCGCGAAATGACTGTTTTCGAACAATTCGGGGATGAACTTTTATACGACGATATACTGGTGTATATTCATCAGGCGTATCGTAGTGTTTTTGTTCGAACCGATATTGTGCTTTTTTATTCTTCTGCACATTATGCTTTTAAATTTTTCGTTTTCTTCACTTTCTTGTTCTTCATTCTTTAAGTTTCAAGTTTCTTTTCTTTTTTAGATACTTTCTAATTTACGAATTTTTCAAACTTATATGTTCCATAGTCACGATGGACTTAACTTCATATCGACGACCTTCATCTTCAACATTAAAAGTTTCCGGCCGATCGAACGCTACAGCTTCATATGCCCAACAACGTATTTGGCTCCATGAGAAGCTCTACTTTGATCATTTGTCTTCTTCGCCGGCAATGTACAATATTCTTTTACCATTGAGAATTAAATGTGGCATCCTACCTGTGGAACACGTCCAATTTGCACTACTTTCAGTGCTCGAAAAACACAAAGTTCTTCGAACAGCTGTTCGTTTCAATAAGGAAACGAATCAACTCGAACAGGAAATACAACCACTTTCACGCAATATTTATTCATTTGAGCGTACTCAAAACATTTCCTCTTCTGAACAACTTGATGACATACTGACGACTGAAATAGTCACCAATTATTTTGATGTTGAACAAGGCAAAGTAGTGCGGTGCCACTTGATACAAATAAATAACGATTGTGATTTGGAAAATCTTCATATGGGAGACCTTCTTCTCTTCACTATTCATCATATTGCTTTCGATAATAGTTCACTTCGATTGTTTACATTAGCCTTTGCTGAAGCATGTGGTCAATTCAAATATGTACAGTCTTTACAAAAAGCACCACAATATATCGATTTTACTTTATATGAACAATCTTTCTTGAAATCAACCGAAGCTGAACGAGCACGAAAATTCTGGGCCTCATTACTTAAAGGCTATGACTGGACTAAAACATCAATACAACCGATCGATACTGCACAGACTACAAAGAGTATCCGTTCCGGTCGCGGTTATTCCATAGCATTTAATTTGGAGAATGACTTAGTACAAGCACAGATGGCATTTGCTGCATCTCATAATATTTCTATGTTTCAACTATATCTCGCTTGTTATTACGTGTTCCTTTTCAAACTGGGTGCAATACAAGATCTATGTGTAGCCGCTACCTACAATAATCGACCGTTGTCTGAAATGAAATCCATGATCGGAATGTTTGCAAATACGATACCCTATCGAATCAATATGGATCCACATGATTCATTTGAAAAGTTGGTGATACAGGTACAACATCTGTGCTTGGCCATCCTTTCTGATGCCCATTTGCCTTATCAACAAATTCTCGGTGTCCAAGCAAATGAAAGATATCCTATGCCTGAAACATTCTTTCATTACGAATCACTTTTGACTTCTACGACGTACAACACTACGGCAGAGATTCCTACCAACAATAAAAACGGTACTGTATTCGACATTTACTATGATCGAGATCGATCTCATGGGAACGGTATCGCTCTCTTCGATATGACATTGGCAGTATCACACGGCCATCACGCACAAGTCACTGAATGCTTTCTCGAATGCTCAGCTGATCTCTTCTCTGATGAAACAATTGTTAAACAAATGACTGAGCGCTTTCAATCCTTGCTTCGCCAATTGTTTATTGACCAAAAATATGATCTTAGCAAAACACCGATTAATCAATTGTCTCTTCTTCTTCCCTCAGAACGCAATGAACTACAATCTACTGTCTTCAAAAGACTACCCAATATCAATGAAGGTATATAGAATCGAAATTTTTTCTCCAAATAACTATCAAATCCTCATCGTCTCTTGTTCACAGGACCTGCCTCATTTGCTCAAGCTCGTATCTGGTCCGAAGAGAACAATTTGGCTATCAATAATATGCCATTTGTGTTCCATATTGAAAGAGGTTCGTTGACAGTTGAACGACTAAAACGCGCATTTCAGTTGGTGATAATGAAACATGAAAGTTTACGCACTGCTCTGATCTTCGACAATGATCATCAACAACTAATGCAACACATTCGTCATTTGAAAGATGATCAAGATTTGTTTTCTTTTACCGAATCAACTGACATTCACCGTCAAGATTTGATGAGAATTCTGCACGATGAACGAGGCAATTCTTGTCATTTTGATCTTGAAAAAGGACTTGTTTCTCGTCTCCATATTCTTTATCAAAATTCGAAAAAAGATCAGATTGAAAGAGGTGATTCGATCATCTTTAATTTTCATCACGCTTTGTTTGATTTCCCATCAATGCACATCTTCTATGATGATCTCAATGATGCATATACCAATGGTTATTTACATTATGATGATGAAAAACAATTACGATATCTCGATTGTAAGTTGAATATGATTGATTGTTGATTGTTTGATCGATATTTTCTGTTTAGATTCGATGATCGAACGAGAAATGTCAATGACAATGGCGAAGAATTATTGGATCGAAACTCTACGTGATTATGATTTGAATCGATCACTTCCATTACCATTTGATCGTTATCGTATTTCGAATGAACAACAAAGAACAGGACGTGGAACATCAATTTCATTTGATTTCAATGAAGATCTTTCACAAGAATTTCTCTCTTATAGTCTCGACAATGATGTGACACTTGAAGAAGTGTCATTGACATGTTATTTTCTTTTCTTATTTAAATTAACAAATGGAGAAGAAGATCTTTGTATTGGAATGAATGTTCGAGGAAGATATAAAAATGAATTGAAATCATTAATTGGAATGTTTGTCAATGCAATTCCATTACGTTTAAGAGATTTCAATTCATCCAAATCTTTTTCTCATTTAATTCAACAAGTGAAACAAATGACACGAAGTGCAATGGAAATGTCACATTTTCCTTTGCAACGAATTCTTTCTCAACATTTCAACAATGAAATCAGATCTGAATCTTTTCTCGATACATCATTTGAATATGAAATTCTTGAGAACAGATCGAGTCTGTGTATTGATGAAGTGAAATTATCACTTGTGCCTTATTCACTTCATGTTGGAAAAGACGAAATCGTGAGTAAATTCGATTTTTCATTACGAATTCTTCACAATCCAATAAATCAACAATTTTCATGTGAAATCGATGCATCGTTGGATTTATTTGATCGATTAACAATCGATTTGATTGGACAACGATTTCATCATCTTCTTCAACAACTTTTCTTATTTTCTACATTTGATTTGATTGAACAACCCATCGTCGAAGTTTCGTTATTATTATCGGATGATCTTCAACAGATTCAATCAATTAATCAAACAAGTTCAATGTCTTTTCATCAATTAGATCAAGTACACGAGGAATTCGTTCATCAAACATTTCTTCATCCTCAAAAGATTTCGATTTGTCTCGAAGAACAATCATTGACTTATGCAGAACTCTTCTATAAAGTTGATCAATTAGTTCATCGTATGGGCGAACGAAAACATGTGAATGAAATTGTTTGTCAATGTGTTGAACGTAGTATTGAAATGATTATTGGTGAATTAGCAATCATCAGTTCAGGTCGATGTTATTGTGCTTTATCACCAGAAGATCCACCTGCTCGTTTATCAACATTAGTTACTCAAACAAAATCATCACTTATTCTTGTTCATTCATCGACACAAAATCATTTTCTCAATCATTCAAATGTTATCAATATTCAACATTGTCTTCTTGATGACATCAACGTCACTGATGTTACTGATCACCATCGCAGTGTTTCTTTTGATGATCTTGTCTAGTATGATCTCATCTATAATCTTTCACTTTGCTTTACTCTTTTGTTTAGTGTTGTATTCACCAGTGGCTCAACAGGAATACCGAAAGCGGTAAGGACACATTCTCAACATATTTTAGTCAATAGCAACCAATTACCTCTTGTCTAGGTACAAATTTCGCATAAGAATTTTTCATCATGCATGACCTCTTTCAAACAGTTAAATATAATTACGAGCCGCGACGTGGTAGTTCAAATGGCACAATGTTCATTTGATGTTCATGTGAAAGAATGTTTAGGCACAATGATGTTAGGTGCGACACTCGTGCTTTTACGGCCTCATGGTTATATGGACTTCAAATATTTGTCAAAGACATTACACGAACACAATGTCACGTTCTTCTCCGTTGTTCCCACGATGATGACAGCTTTTCGGATTGTTCAGAAAGAACGTGATCGCTGGCCAATCACTGAGGGTTGGGGTCGATGGAGAGCAAGGGTGGCTGAGTAGCTTGCACTTCTAAATATTCATAAGCCCAAGTAGTCCTTTGTAGCTAATGTCGTTGAACTATTGCTGTGTCTATTGTGGTGGAGCTGGCGTCGTGAATGGCATATTTGAAGAATAGTTGAACGAATGCTTGAGTCGAACTGTTAAGTTTAGCACTATTAAAAAGTTTAGAATTCGTTGCAAACTACGAAATCGTTCAAAAGCTCTATTTAGTCTGAAGAACATCTTGAAAAGATCTATATTTTTGGGAAAGCCTCTTCTGTTGTCAGCGTAGTATTTCCAGTGTGACAATCGCTCGGTTGATTTCGTTCTTCTTGATATCATAGTCTCTTCGTTCAGTTATCACGATTTTTTATATTCGTTGTTTTTTCTTTACTCATGCCGATTTGAAAACATATGAGACTTGGATCGATCAAAATTTTATTTTTAAGTCAGGTAGTCCAATTGTTACATCATTGTGTACCCCCGAGACTATTTTGACTTCCGGCCAACTAATAAAGACAATGGAAGATGGTATTCAATCAGTGGAATTGGTTTTCACCATAATCTTTTCTCAATTGACCGAACTTCTCTTTGCATCGCACAAGTTTCACGTGAGGTCTACTTCAGCTTTCACGAATTAGCATGAACCAACTGCTGTTTAAAATGAATTTCTTCTTTCCTCACGATATCGATAAATGTTTTGATGTTTTCTCAATTCTTTCGTTGAATCCGCTGTGAAAGATTATGGAGAAATGTCAAAGATGCCATAAACAAGTAAAGATGTAGCGATCCATACATTCCAAAGACGGAATGGAGCTTGTTTCATCCACAAACCGTCGAAGAGTTCAAAGAGGAGTTCGAGATCTCCTGGAATGTTTTTGGCGATGTAAACATTGGAAGACAAGAAAATAACATGCTGCTTGTTGGCGTTTCGAACGGAAAATAATAAAAATGCAGTAATATCAAGTAGCCACAAATATTGTAGAAACATTTACCCGCGACGCGACTACCTTGATAAGAATCATTTCGCAATCGGTCATAATGTATTTAGGTTGAAAAGTACGATTAAGTTGATGAACAGCTTCATCTAAGAAATGAAAAAAAACATGTTTGTGTACTAGAGCGTTTCAATCGAGTAATAAACCAACAACACCACAGAAGAAATATAAACGTCGTATGTATGGGAACATCCCTTTTTGAAAAATAAAAATTTATCTTACTGAAAATACCAAGAGAGGATCGAACATATAGTGTCGAATACGATTCGTTACACTAGAGCTAAGAAAAGAAAGAAAACATATACTTCCATGATCATACGAACACTCTAAATCGCACTTTAAGAGCCGCACCGTAATAGCAACAGGTAATGACAAATTGCAACGAGAATTCGATAAAAGTTAACAATAATAAATAAATAAATACAGTCAACAACTAAAGATGAACTATTTACTGAAACATTGGCATACCATCACGTGATTAAAGCATCAAAATTATTTTGTTTTACAGGTAAGAACATATTGTGAAAAGAAGAAACGTGACGGGAGAGAAGCAGGAAAGAAATTCATGATCAATATTAGAATGTGTCTGGAAATTCCGCTAGCAATTGCACATCGTCAAGCTCGAAGTTGGGGATCCATTCACCGATAGGCATGTTAGAGCACCAATACAATATGCGCTCGCGATATTATGAATAGTTGTCGTTTCTTTTTATTACGCTTTAAGCAGTATGGAATTGACGTTTCACTCGAAAGCGCCCATGACTTTATAGAGGGTTGGGATGGTACTATATAATAGATATATACAGGAAATTTTCACAAATATTTTGGGTATAAACGCACTGCCAGTAATAAGCATGGAGCGTATAAAAAGAAAGGAGGACTAGAAAAAGTAAGAAAATCTAGAAAGGATGAACAAATAAAAGGGATTAGAGCACGAATAACCCTGGTACGTAAAATATAACATCTTGAGTAACTAAAGAGCACAAACGAGAAATATGCAAGTATTGAGACAGTATTTTTTTAGTATGTCCTCACAAGAGAACTAGTCTAAATCCAATTTTATGAATCTATTTCCTGAAGTTCTTCTATCATTATTTGGTTTTGTTTAACCTTTGTGTAAATGATGAACGGTGAATCATTACCTCCACTGTGAACAGACTGATTGCATTGTGATTGGTTTCAAGTAATTCGTACTATCTCACCAAATTCAAAACGGATAAAACAATACACCATGAAGATGAAAACCCCCAAGATTCCCATTATTAACACTTCGGCTAGATAGGACGAATTATTCCAATTGAATTAGCTTTGCTTTTCGATCAGATTTCTTCATTTCGCACGTTTCCAAGGATGAGTATGCTTGAACTCCACATGAGGCATAGGCTAAACGTTACAATATACACCTCATCACACCTTCTATTTGTTCTGATTCGAGAGACTAAGTTTTCTGTTTCTGCCGTAAATTATGGTACTATTGTTCTTCTCTCATTCTTACTGACATATTCATTTTTTCCTTACCATTTGAACATTTTCGCATGAACTTACAAAGGAGGGCTCCGCTGTTAATTATGACTCATAACTCTCACACGAGTTAATCTAGTTTCTTTAGTATATTCAATAAGCTATCACTGAATATGTTTTAGGAACATCGAAAAAAAGCAGATTTTGGTAACGATGATGTCGTTTTTTGTCGCAGACGATTAAGAGTTGGTTCGGAAATATGAACAGTATCAATATACGGATTGGAGGAGATATGAGTACCTACTGGTTTCATTCAGTAGAGGAGCTAAGCCGAGAGCAACTTCGCTGAGATTACTCGAAGTCAAGTCATTGTTGTAGATTCCTCTAAAAGTAGTCGTCCCTTTAAAGGTAACAACTTCAATGCTTTCAGATATATGGTAAATAAGAGTCACGATTTCCACACTTTGCAATACATTGATCGTGACGGTCGGTATGCATACAGTATAAGCTGAACACATTCGATTCTTGCAGCACGAATATTTCACTTTTAGTCGAGTTCAATTCAACTGACGGATATAACCTTCACAAATCAAAATTCATTTTCCTTTGATGCTGGCAAAAAAAGTCACAGTAGCGGTAGTTGAGATACAGAAAAAAGTGAAAAGGGATCATTTTGCTAGTGAATGAAGTATTCTTCAGCGTGAACGAAACACAATATATGTCTGCGATGAGACCTAAAAACGTCCTCGATAGAGATAGTCACATTCAACGCTTGTTAACTTTTTCTGGAGATATAGATTAATCTTGAGGGGTGAGGGTGTGGGAAGACAAAAAAAATTCATCAATCATGATCACAAGTAAACAAACATGAGAATCGGTATTTTGTCCCGCTGCACACTTCTATATGGGTACCATATTGATCCGAATAGTTGCAACGTTGTTCAATAGATCTCTTCTTTACTCCATATACTATTTCGTGTCGTCGTGTTCCCACTATTTTCAATCCTTCTCATGGGCATTTTCTCGCTATTAACCAACATTAATGTACGACTGGCAGAGCTTGGATTACTGAAATATTAACTTTTATCTTACTGCTCAACAACAAACAGCAACGTCAGTGAAATTCTATTGTTCGCTCGATAAAGAACTTCCTGTCAGTGACGACATGATTTTTGAATACACCCCTATTTCAACACCTTGTTGAAACCAATCAGCTCAGTCGTTTATCCACTGTTCGAACATTTGGTTTTCTCGGTACATTTCTTCTGCTTTTCTAGTACACACCACTTTTCCCATCTTCTAGGAGAAGCAATCAATTGCAGCACTTTAGCTAAACTCAGGCAGCATTTTCATGAAACTAACATCGACTTCTACAACTTATATGGCCCAGCGGAATGTACTCTCACTTCAGTCTATCATAGAGTTACTGACAAAGATATCGAGAGTGGTATTATTCCTATCGGTATGCCATTTCCAGGTATGCGAGCACAAATTCTTGATCGCTTCTCTCAACCAGTTCTTCCTGGACAAGTCGGAGAACTTTATCTCGACGGTGTACAACGCTTTCCTGGCTATTACGATCGAGATGATCTCACTCAACGAGCTCTTCATGCTTCATTCTATCGTACTGGTGATCTTGTTCGACAAGATCGAGTCACCGGACTCATCTACTACTTAGGAAGACAAGATTTTCAAATCAAACTACGTGGACAACGTATCGAACTCGCTGAAATCGAACGATGTTTATTAGAGGTCGTTTCGACTTGTGCCGTGATCAAACATGATGAATATCTTGTTGCATATGTGCAATCACATCAGACAGATTTAGACACATTGCGACAACATTGTCAATCTCATTTACCTTCTTTTATGGTTCCATCAATATTCATCACAATCAACAGTTTTCCTTTGAATAAAAGTGGAAAACTCGATCGACGAATGTTACCGAAACCAACACAATCACCGTCGATTTCCACTGCGACTGATTTAGCCGAATTAACAACTGATACGGAAGATCAAGTACATAAACTATGGTGTGAAGTTTTGAAGTTTGATGTTCCTCGATCGAAAACAAGCAGTTTCTTTTCTGTGGGCGGACATTCGATGCTTCTCATGCAAATCTATCATCGTTATCAAACTTCATTCATGTTTGATAGTAAAAGCATTTCGATTGCTTCTTTCTTTCGACACACGACTCTTTGTGAACATGCTGAATTGTTGGAATCTGTGATGGAAACAACGACTGGTGAGAAGCTAACGTCATGGACGGCGTTACATCTGAATGAAGGTAAATATGAAGAAAGAGACATGTGCAGATGAGGAAAGAAAGGATGAACATTTGTTGTAGGTATCGCTTCATTTGCACAAGAACGAATTTTTCTTGACCAACAAATCAGATTTACTAATGGACAATATGATACATATTCCGTAGGCGTCTACAATGAAGTAAATGTCTTAAAAATTTCAAGTGGGACATTATCTATGAACCGTCTCAGACGAGCTGTTCGACAGCTTTTGATGAAACATGGGGCACTGCGAACTTCACTGGATTTCGACAACGAAAGCACCGTTCTCACACAACGGATGGCACAAATGCAGGATACGTTCGAATTTGCACCAACGCAAATAGTTGATGATGACGTGCATCTTCATTCTCTTATTCGAGAAATAAGTCGCAATCCAAACTTGTTTCATTTGAACGATGGACGGGTATTCTATTGTCAAATTTTTCAACAGAAGTCTTCGCACAGCAGCGCACATGATGATTCAATATTAACGAATGATATTATCCTTTTTGTTTTTCATCACATTACTTTTGATCGCAACTCTCGTCACATCTTCTTACGAGATTTGAATGTCGCTTATATGAACGATGCTCCGCTCTCAATTGATGAAAATACCTTGAACTACATTGATTATTCTCTCTATGAACGTCAAATGGACATGACATCCGCGAAACACTTTTGGAAAACCCTATTACACGAATATGATCTGGAAAGTGAACTCGCATTACCCTTCGATCGACATCGATTACCTCATAAGGAACGATCAGGAAAAGCGATCGTTGCACAAATTACATTCGATCATCAACTTTCTCAATCCTTTCTTGACTATGCTCATTCATCAAATGTCACTCCATTTCAACTTGGTCTTTCGATATTCTTTGTATTTCTCATGAAATTAACGAATGGTCAACGAGATCTTTGTGTTGGAAGTGTTTGTGCCAATCGATATCGAAGTGAATTAGAAGATTTGATTGGAATGTTTGTTGCCACACTTCCCTATCGTTTACAATTCGATCCTTCTACTTCATTTCACCAACTCGTCAAACAAGTTCAACAGTTATGTTTCTCAATCTTAGAACATTCACATTATCCACTTCAACATATCATTGATAATCAACATTCACCTGCTTTTCTTGAGATTATGTACGATTTCATTCCTCTGTCGTCATCGAACAATGAACAAGTGATTGTTGATGGAAATGTACTCGAACCAATTTCATTGGAGAAAGATGATTTTGTGGCTAAATTTGATTTCATGTTGACTTTGACTGAGAAATCTTCGGATGAAATGAGTTGCTCATTGATTTGTTCCGAAGATCGATTTGATCACTCAACTGTCCAAACATTACTTCAACGATTCACTCATCTCTTCTCTCAACTCTTCCATCCATCGATTTCCTCTCTTCACACATCATCACCATTGTACAAATTATCTCTCATTTTACCTGAAGAACAATCAGTGATTGATTCAATGAGAAATCACGATGTGAATCGACCACGAACATCAACACGTACAATTCCACAGTTGTTCAGTGAACAAGTGATGATTCATCCACAAAAGATGGGTGTTGAACTCGATGAACAAATGTTGAGTTATGGTGAATTGTATTTCTATACACAACAACTGGGAATGAATCTGATCAATATTTATAATGTAAAAGAAGGTGATATTGTATGTCAATGTGTTGAACGAAGTATTTCTATGGTAAGAATGATATGATATGTGAAAATGAAAGACATTGAGAGTTTCTATTATAGGTGATTGGAATCTTATCCATTGAAATGATTGGTGGTGTTTACTGTCCACTATCACCTCAAGATCCAACACAACGTTTACAAACTCTTGTCAAAGAAACCCAGTGTACTGTGGTAATTGTGCACACTCTGACGGAAGACAAGTTTGACAAGGAATGTGTTACGATGAATATTGATGTTGCTATCAGTATAAATCATGTCATCGGATATTCTGTTTCGGATAGTAGTATAACCAGTGACAGCATTGCTTATATTATCTTTACAAGTGGTTCGACAGGTATTCCCAAGGCGGTAAGTTGAATATATCTAATTTAAATGAGGCTTAATAAATTTGAGATAGGCTCAAATACGACATCGAAATTTTACTGAATCTGTTCGATCATTGATTGAAGTCGGTACATTTAATGAAAAGGACATCGTGTTACAAATGGCTCGATGCTCATTCGATATTCACGTTGAAGATATACTGGGAATACTTATAACCGGTGGTACATTAGTAATGCTTCGACCAGATGGCCTGATGGATTTTCAATATCTAACTGATGTAATTATTGGCAAAAGTATCACATTCATAAATAGTGTTCCAAGTTATCTGACAAGTCTGTGCTCCTATCTGGAGACGCGTTTTGACGACGCAGATTGGAACCGTTTACGATCAGTGGTTTGCGGTGGTAAGTAAAGAATTTCTCCTGTATGACTTCATCGTCTTTGGATTTATTTTCTAGGTGAACCATTACCATTTCAATTAGTAGATAAATTAAATAAACACTTATTGCCAAAACGAAGATCAACGGATGCATGTCACATATGGAATCTTTATGGCCCAGCTGAAGTTACTCTCGATTGTCTCTATCATAACATTGAACTTAGATATGATCAAAGTAGTGTACCTGTCGGTCGTCTATTACCTGGTTATCAATGCGTTGTTCTGGACGACTTCTTAGAACCAGTTTTTACTGGCCAAGAAGGTGAATTATTCGTTGGAGGTGTGGGTATCTTTGCTGGTTACCTTGGACGCGATAATTTGAACAAAGAAGTGCTCGTCATGATCGACAATCAACTGTTTTATCGTACTGGTGATCTGGTTCGATTAAATAGTGATCAACTCTTTTATTATATCGGTCGAAAAGATCATCAAGTAAAACTTCACGGACAACGTATTGAATTAGGCGAAATTGAACGATGTTTGCTTGATCTTTCACCACATGTTTCTGCTTGTGTCGTTGTTAAATGGGATAATGATCATCTTATAGCTTATCTTCAAAGTATAGATATCAATGAAGAACGATTACGTCAACATTGTCAATCTCGTTTACCATTGTTCATGATTCCTTCAACGTTTGTTATTCTCAAGCATTTGCCAATGAATGCAAATGGTAAACTTGATCGAAAGCTTCTTCCTGTTCCGGATTCATCAATACCTATCAATGAAGAGCATCATACAGAGCCAAAGAATGGTATTGAAAAACGCATTCATTCACTTTGGTGTGAAGTATTACAATGTAAACGAATATCCACAACCGTCAATATTTTCACGATTGGCGGCCATTCTCTTCTTCTTATTCAACTTTATCATCGATATAAGACAATGTTCAAGTTTGATACTCATGCAATTAACATTTCCAACATGTTCCAACATTCGACCATTGTCGATCACGCTCGTTTCATCGAACAAGCACAAAATACTCGTCAACAACAACAGCAAGAAGAGAAGTGGCTTCCTCTCCACATCGCTCAAGGTAAAGCAAAAGAAAATCACAAGAGATTTTTTCTCATTCGATCAATATTTCCTTTTGACAGGTCAAGTGTCATTTGCACAAGAACGAATTTTTCTTGATGAACAAATTCGTTTCAATACTCAAGGTGGTCGTATGTACGAGGTACGACTGGCGCATGTCATTTCCAATCAGGACAAATTTCTCTCCATCGAACGCCTCCGTCGTGCAATTCAATCAGTTCTTGTCAAGCATTCGGTATTGCGCACAAGTATTTTTATCAATTCGACAGGTACGATTACACAATCTCAAGTTCCAATCAATGATCTCAACCAAACACTTTTTGGTTTCACCGTTCTTCATATCGATACCAATGATAAAAACAACATCTCTGAAATGATTCATCATTCGAATCTTTTCAACCTCACCGAAGGACGTCTTCTTCATTGTCATCTTCTTCTTCGTCAACAATCATCTTCATTACAAAGTCACGATCATTTATCCACTAATGATATCATCTTATTTCATATTCATCATTCTGCATTTGATGGTGCATCAACACCAATCTTCATGCGAGATCTTTCTCTTGCCTACAATCAAGATTCTCCGCTCTCAATTGATGAAAATACCTTGAACTACATTGATTATTCTCTCTACGAACGTCAAATGGACTTGACATCCGCGAAACACTTTTGGAAAACCCTATTACACGAATATGATCTGGAAAGCGAACTCGCATTACCCTTCGATCGACATCGATTACCTCATAAAGAACGATCAGGAAAAGCGATCGTTGCACAAATTACATTCGATCATCAACTTTCTCAATCTTTTCTTGACTATGCTCATTCATCAAATGTCACTCCATTTCAACTTGGTCTTTCGATATTCTTTGTATTTCTCATGAAATTAACGAATGGTCAACGAGATCTTTGTGTTGGAAGTGTTTGTGCCAATCGATATCGAAGTGAATTAGAAGATTTGATTGGAATGTTTGTTGCCACACTTCCCTATCGTTTACAATTCGATCCTTCTACTTCATTTCACCAACTCGTCAAACAAGTTCAACAGTTATGTTTCTCAATCTTAGAACATTCACATTATCCACTTCAACATATCATTGATAATCAACATTCACCTGCTTTTCTTGAGATTATGTACGATTTCATTCCTCTGTCGTCATCGAACAATGAACAAGTGATTGTTGATGGAAATGTACTCGAACCAATTTCATTGGAGAAAGATGATTTTGTGGCTAAATTTGATTTCATGTTGACTTTGACTGAGAAATCTTCGGATGAAATGAGTTGCTCATTGATTTGTTCCGAAGATCGATTTGATCACTCAACTGTCCAAACATTACTTCAACGATTCACTCATCTCTTCTCTCAACTCTTCCATCCATCGATTTCCTCTCTTCACACATCATCACCATTGTACAAATTATCTCTCATTTTACCTGAAGAACAATCAGTGATTGATTCAATGAGAAATCACGATGTGAATCGACCACGAACATCAACACGTACAATTCCACAGTTGTTCAGTGAACAAGTGATGATTCATCCACAAAAGATGGGTGTTGAACTCGATGAACAAATGTTGAGTTATGGTGAATTGTATTTCTATACACAACAACTGGGAATGAATCTGATCAATATTTATAATGTAAAAGAAGGTGATATTGTATGTCAATGTGTTGAACGAAGTATTTCTATGGTAAGAATGATATGATATGTGAAAATGAAAGACATTGAGAGTTTCTATTATAGGTGATTGGAATCTTATCCATTGAAATGATTGGTGGTGTTTACTGTCCACTATCACCTCAAGATCCAACACAACGTTTACAAACTCTTGTCAAAGAAACCCAAAGTCGTCTGATTCTGGTTGATTCATTGACCCAAAACAAACTTCAGGATGGTGAAAAGAGGGTGAATATGGACACGATGTTGAATATGAATGGAATGATAAATGACAATGATCTTGATCGACTTTCAAATATTAATGTAACAGTGGAGAGTATTGGCTATATAATTTTCACAAGCGGTTCAACAGGTGTACCAAAAGCGGTGAGTTATCGGTGATTGTTTTTGTAGAATGTGTTTATAAAGTGTATTTTAGGCTCAATTTCGACAGCGAAATTTCCTTGAATTCACACGATCATTTGTTGAAGTGGGAGTTTTCGATGAAAACGATACGGTTCTTCAAACGACAAAATGTTCATTTGATATTCATGTTGAAGATCTTATTGGAACATTTGTTCTTGGCGCATCGTTAATCATGTTGCGTCCCGATGGTCTCATGGATCTGCCTTATCTAATTGACACAATTGAAAAGAAAGAGATCACCTATTTCAATAGTGTACCAAGTTATCTTGCAACATTATGTTCGTATCTTGATAAACGATTGGAGAAAGCTTCATTAAATCATGTTCGATCGATCTGTTCTGGTGGTAAGTCGATTATTTCAACGAATCGATTTATACAGAATTATTTCTTTTTGTAGGTGAAACTCTACCAATTCAGTTGATTCATCATTTAAATAAACATTTCTCATCAACATCTGAGAATAAATGTCATATATGGAATATTTATGGTCCCGCTGAAATTACAATTGGATGTACAATTCAACTTGTTGATAGTACATGTCAACAAAGTACTATTCCAATTGGCCCATTAATTCCTGGTTATCGTTGTCTTATTATCGATGATTTTGGAGAACCTGTCTATGTTGGTCAAGAAGGTGAATTATTAATCGCTGGTGTTGGTGTTTATTCTGGTTATCTTGGACGTGATGATTTAACAGAAAAAGCACTTACTCATATGCATGGTGAATTGTTCTACAGAACTGGTGATCTTGTCCATGTTGATCATAATTGTGTGATACATTACGTTGGTCGAAAAGATCATCAAGTCAAGTTACGTGGTCAACGTATTGAATTGGGAGAGATTGAACGTTGTTTACGTGATGCTTCATCAAACGTCACAAGTTCAGTCGTTGTTAAATCTGGTAAAGATCATTTGATTGCATATGTTCAAGGTTATGATATTGACAAAGATAAATTACATAACTATTGTCGATCTCACTTAGCATTTTTTATGATTCCTTCGTTGATTATTGTCCTTGAACAATTTCCATTGAATCCAAACGGCAAATTGGATCGAAAACTTTTACCGACACCTGATTTTTCAGCAATTACTGATTGTCAACGTATCGATCAATGGAAATTAACAGAACTTGAAGAACGTCTTTTGCCTATTTTTGCTCAAGCATTTCATGTTGAATCACCAAATGTCAATGTTCCATTTGGACAATTCGGTGGTACATCATTAGATGTGATCATAGCATTATCAATGATTCGACAACAAATCTCCGAAAATATCGGAATTACTACTCTTTATGAAAATCCATCAATCAGACAATTGGCACAAGTTCTCGAACCATTAATCGTCACCGAAGAGAAAGACAAACAAAAACAAAGTTCTGAAATACTAACAACAATTAAACTCAAAGAAGAAGATGATCATCAACAACATATTCTGCCATCATTATTTATTGAAACATTAGGAATAATATTTCTCATATGTCAATGGTTATCTCCTATATGGATGATGTATCATTCTAATAATTACTTTTCGATCTTATTAATACCATTAGTTCATCTATGTATGTACGTTATCTGTCAACGTTTATTACTTTGTTCAGAAAATCAGATGACAAAAATAGATTCTTTGTATTCATGGAATTATTATCGATGGTGGTTTTTAGAACGTTTATGGACAATTAATAATTCATATTGGTTAAAACATGTTTTCGGGACATCACTTTACAATTTTTATCTTCGATTATGTGGTGCACGAATTGGTCATGGTGTTCATATTTATTCAACATTTATTGATGCACCTTGGTTACTTGAAATAGGTGATTCAACATTTATCGATACAGATGTCATTTTCTCGAATCTCTCATATGATATTCAAACATATCAACTTAATCGAATTCGTATTGGATCACATTGTTCAATTGGTACACGTTGTGTTCTTTATGATGAAGTGACAATAGAAGATAAGACTTATATCGAATCAATGTCGAAAGTAACTGGTCATTTTTCTTCAATTATTAAACATTCATCAATCAATCATCGATCTTTTTCATGGAAACAAATTATTTATCAATTCATATTACTTTCTTGTCTTCTAATTCTTCATGGTATTCTTCTCATTCTCACTTTTCACATGTATCAATTGTATTTGATTATTTGGATACCAATACCAATTGCTATTGCTTTTAGTTGTTTGTTTTGGACAATAACAAGTCTTATCATTGTAATGTTTTTATTAAAATTCCTTGTTGGATGTGTAACACCAGGTAATTATCCAGTGAATTCTTATTACTTTTTACGTCGAATATGGTTTCGTCAATTGATCATCTCATCATTTCATCATTCGTTTGATCTTTTCTCGTCATACAATCCAATCTCTAATACTTTACTTTGTTGGTTAAATGCTGAAATTGGCGCTGATGTTAAACTTGGTGAATTTCATCCAATTCTTTCTTTTCCATCTAATCTTCTTCGAATTGAACAAGGTGTAACAACTTTTGCAAAAGTTCGTTTATCTTCATATGAAATCACTCAAACAGGTGATTGTCATTTAAGTCCAATTATACTTGGTTCTTATTCTAATCTTGGTAATGGATGTACACTGATGCCAGGCACACAACTTCCTCCAAAAACTATGGTTGGAAATTTAACTTTAGTTACACGAAATACATCGATTTCTGCTTGTGGAACGGTGTTAGTCGGTATTCCAGCTCGTCCAATGCCTTTTGTAATGCCAAAAGAAGAACAAATACCAAGTGATACATTTCCATCATTGAATTCTTCATCATTCTATGCATTTACAAATACATGTATCATTTATTTCCTTGGCAAATGTTTATTCATTAGTAATTATTATTTATTTCCAATTGTAATTGCACCAATTGTTCATCTATGTCTTTTCTGTCTTATACATCGTTGTTCCATTTTAAGTTCTTCATCAGAAACAACGTTGACTTATTCTCAAACAATTAATCGTACACATGAATTTCTTTCAACAGCGATTATTGAATTTAATCTTTTTCTTAGTCCATTTTTATCCAAAACCCAATATCTTGTTAATCTTTTTCGTTTCCTTGGTGCTCATATTGGAAAAGATGTGATTTTACCAAGTATAGATTGTCTAACTGATCCTCATCTTGTAACAATTGGAAATCATGTTCGTCTTCAAAGAGATTCTTGTCTTCAGGTTAATCAATTCTCTTTTGAAAATCATGATAAGAATATTTTTCTTTCAATTTCATTTTTAGTCTCACACATTTGAACAACGTATATTCAAATTAGCACCAATTCACGTTCAAGATTCGACTGTTCTAATGAGTTATTCGAATGTTCTTGCTGGATCAATACTTCACGGTCGAAATCGTCTTTATCCTCTTACACTTGTTATGAAATATGATCAATTACCAATGAATACAATTTGGTCCGATGTACCAGCACGTCGAATTGACTAAAATAAATTTCTTTTGTTTTTATCGTCATGTAAATATTGTAATCCGAATTTCTCTTTTTTTTCAGATTTTTCTCTAAATTTCATTTTTTATTGAAATCCATATATTCGATATGACCTGGTGGCTTTTCTTCATATTCTTCTATTCGATCAGTGTGTTGTTATTTCATATTTATATTCGTTATTTCTCTGCTCAACGACATAATTTCAATTCGAAATATTTTCCTGTGATCATTGAACCTTGGTATTTTCCATTTTTGGGTCCAATTCTTTCCATGTTAGATATGGAAACATCTCTAAAGAGATGGTGTACAAAATACGGACATAATTTCACATTATTTCTCTTCGGAAAATATTACACAGTGATAACAAAATCAGCTGATTTGAAGAAATATTATCATTCTACAGAAGAAACACTCAGTATGTCGAGAGCTGCATTTCTTCTATTAGGATCATCATATCCTGAAAGTCAATATATTGTTGAATATGATGTTGTACAATATTTACATAGTATTCTGAATTCGAATCATTTGTCAAAGATGATTTCAAATACAGAAATGGTGATGAGAGATTATTTTAATAATAAAAATGGACAATTTTGGAATGAAAATGGTGATGAAGTTGTCATTGATTTATTTGATTTTATGTATCGTTTGATTATACGTATCAATTCGATTAATTTCATATCATCGAATATTTACACAAATGATGTTGATGAAGTTATTGAAATATTTACTCGATTAAATGTCGAAAAAGATATTTTAAGTCCAATAATTGAACGAATGAAAAAATACTTCGGATTGAAAACAAAAAAAGATTTCGCTTGGAAACAATGGATTTTACTTCTTATGCCAGAAATTCAACGAGCTTTACAAATGATTGAAAATAACATTGAACCAAATGATTTTGATATTATTTATGAAAATGTGAAATATGTCAAAGAACAAATGGAAAAACGTGGTGAAACATTTACACCTCGTTTAGTCGCTTATTTTGCTTATATGTCAATTGTTCCAGCACAATTGAATACATACACAACAGCAGCATATCTAATTCTTGAATGGATTCATCATCAACATGATGAAATTGGTCAACAAATGAAAAACGAAATTGATCATTTATCTCAATGCGATCAATTAACTATTGATGATTTAAACTCAATGGAATATATTCAAGCGTGTATCTATGAAGTTATTCGAATGCACACGGACTTCCTCTTGAGTTTACGACATGCTGGTGAAGATATTCTTCTTTCTCAAGAGAAATTTATTCCAACTGGAAATTTTGTTGTAACACCAATCACTGGTGCACAACATTTATATACAAATCCATTCGATTTTCAACCTGAAAGACATTTGAAACCACGAGAAGAAATGAAAGTTGATCCATATCGAGCTTTGCCTTTTGGAAGAGGAAGACATTCGTGTGTGGGAGAAAGATATGCGAAAATGCAAATTAAAATTCTGTTTCTTCGATTGACAAAATTATGCAAATTGGAATTAATGCCACAATCGAATAATTATAAAACGACAATCAACAGAAAACAATTCGACGGATTAAGTCGACCGACAAAACCCGTTTGGATCAAAATTTCCAAAAGAATCTTATGAAATGTTTCATCATAATTTTCATACTTTTATGGAACGCAGAGAAAAAAAACGGAATTTTCTTATCACTTCTATTGTGTTTCTGTCTTTCATTTATCTTCACTCTGTAATTCAATTCTTTGGGTTTTAAAAGCATTAGTAAATCTATGCAATACTTGTTGATGAGGAAAAGATAAATCCATTACATCATTGCCGTGATCAATTCTGATCTTATCGTTCAAAAAGAAATGATAGCGACTGATTGTAATAGTCCTGTAAATGTAATCAATGGTACCAATTGTTTTACCTCCCATAACATTCGTCTCAAACTGTATTGATGAGAGTAGAGATTATTTTATTTGTTGATGTTGTTTCATTCATTCATGTAAGTCGTCGATTATGAGATTTTTCGCTTTGTATCGCATCGATAAGAGTCGAGATCACATCATTCATTGTTGATTCTGCAGCCATCCATATCAGTGCATCACACACTGATAATCTCACATTCAAATCTTTGCCATGAAGTGCATTGGCAAGAGTAGAAATCATCTCGCTCTTTGTTGCTTTTCTATTCATCTTTCTAAGTGCAGAATATGCAGATTGTTTCATTTTCGAACTTTGGTTTCATAGTATAAGTTGATGAGTTAAAAAACCACCTCATTCGTTGCCGTGTTTTCACCAATTTTAGCAAGTATTTTATATTGACACAGACAGACATACAAACAAGCAAACTATTTTCTTTGTGTCACCCTCCCTTCAGTCGAGAGAATATACAAAGTGTAACCAAAGTAAATGAAATATCTCTACAACTATTCTTTTCATCTTACTGATTTTGTCGATACGAAGAATTTATATGATTGATTTCTACTTCACAGTAACGACATGTGTGTTATTTATTTTCAAACTGATTGATGGCAAAGAATAATCATTTCGAAAAAGATACATTTGATACGACATTGAATGAAAAGAACTTTATTGAAATCTTAAAAAGTCGCTTCTCCTTTTTCAAATTTTGCATTCTATGCCTACTGGATTATTTCTGACATAAATGTTTTATATCGAAAAAAGATTTAATTAAATCAAATAAGGCTTGTCTGAACAGAGTTCCTCCAGTTAATGTAAAAATATAAAATTGCATTGCACTCGCTAAATAAGTTAATAAAAGAACGATATTATAAATAAACATATCAATAGTTGATTGTAATTTTGAATAAGAAGATGAATCGACCAGAACTGCATATAATCTTTGAGTTGCTTGTGGAAGTGTTAAACTTCCCAGAAGAAAAACTTGAACTAAGATCATTCGAAGTAAACTTCGATCATTTTTTCTCGTTTGAATTTGTAATTCATGGACCACAGATGCTTGAGGATTCGTTATTGACATTTGTAAAACACGACGTTGACTTTGACGAATATTTAAAATTGTTAATAAACCAAAAACAAGCATAAACAGAATTGGAACAATTGTCGTAAAGCAAACAAAAGTCAAATCAGCAAGAAGTTGACAAGAATAATTCTTTGCGTAACATTTAAATGGTGCATTGATTAAATTTGCATCATAACAATATAATAATTGTCCATAAACAATCATTGACAAGAAAATGACAAAAATTGTTGCTCGATAGGCATTTTTCATTGAACTTCTTCGACGAAAAGATGTTTCAATTGACGATGATAACCAACGATCAATTGTTGCCATGACAATTAACCAGAAAACCATTGCACGAGTGGAAAAAACAACAAAAGTACGAAATTTACAAAACCATCCAATTGTATAAGTTGGATCAACAACGAAACCAGATAAAACTCGTGTGATTAAACCAAAATCAATGGAAATCAAACTACAAATTGATGAAATTAAGAAAAAGAATACACAAGGAATTTGACGTAATCGACGTTGACTTAATGTTAAAATATTTAAAATATTTCCAATTGTTCCAATTAAGAATATTATTGTTGGAAAATAACGATTCACGTTGTTTGATATATTCACCAAGAAATTGATTAACTCAGTATCATTTGACGACATTTTCTCGGAAAATAAAGTAAATTGAGAAAGGAGACTTGCTTTTAAGTAAGAAGAGATTCAAAAGAAATGTCGCAAACGGTTTTTCAATCGAAGAACATCATCAAACTGTCAAATCTTCTTTTTCTTCACATTCTTTGCGAAATAATTTTATTCAAAGATATAGAAAAGATGCGTTTAATCAATTTCATGTTCATCAGTGTGAAGCTAGCACGAAGGAGGTAGCACGAACAAACTATATGTTAGCTAAAAGCTTTTTACTAAGTATGTCCCGTTCATGAAAACTACACCATTCGACTCAAAATTTAATTCTGCATCGAATGGTGATACTTTTATTCGCCGGACAAACTTTGGGAAAATTCTATCTGGATTATAAATAGGCATAAAGGAAACGAACAAAGATATAGATAGAAAATTTTCCAAAGTTTGTCCGGCGAATAAAAGCATCAGCATTCGATGCAGAATTTAATTCTGAGTCGGATGGTGTAGTTTTTATGGACGGGACATACTTAGTAAAAAAGTTTTTAGCTAGCATATCGTTTCTTCGTGCTGCCCCCTTCGTGCTAGCTTCACACCGATTTCATGTTCCATAAAACATCTCATCTGCATTATCACGTGTCGCATGAATAAACATTAAATTCTCATCAATATTTCATTTATTCAAAAAGAAAGAACATTTGAAAAATAAAACAGATTATGAGCAACGTTTCTTCGAAAATTCGTTTCATCTACAGCTTATACTGAATTCTGATATGAAATTGTTCGTTTTGATCTCGTTCACATTCGAACGCTTATGAATTTTTTGGTTTTTGTCAGGGTTTAAATCACCAATTTTGATTTAGATTATTCCAGACAGATGAACACGATATTTTAAAAATAACAATAATTCATTCTGATATTTGAACTAATAAAAGATTCATGATAAAGTTTGATAAGTCTATGATGATTATTACTAAGGAATGAATGTAAGATTAATATATAGAGACCCCTGGGGTAATTCGGATCAACATGTCAAAAATTGTGAATGTTTTGTTTCGTTGTTCGCCGTTATACGTGATAGAAGAGTGCTTTTTTCGCCACAAACTAGAACCGAACATCCTCTATCTACTGGTGAAAGAATGAACTTGATACCATGTACCAAAAAAAAGATCCAGCAAAAATGGTAAAGAGATGTTGAAGTTGATCCGACTTACCCCAACTGGGGTAAATCGGATCAGTCATAATAACTATCTGGGGTAATTCGGATCACTCCAGTAAAAATGATACGAATTCCGAAAAATTATTTCCCCAACTCTTTTTTCAGTTTTTTCACCTAGTATTCGAGTCAAAGATGATATCATTCGATAGCTCGAGAGGTCTTCTATGGGACCTGTGAGTTTCACGACGAACAAAAAAGTAATAAAAGAACAAAAGTAGTCAACATGATGCCTCAAAAAAACATCAATTTTTTTGAAAAAGCCAACCTGGGGTAATTCGGATCATTCATAGTAAATACGTGGGGTAATTCGGATCACTCCTAATAGGTACCTGGTGTAATTCGGATCACTCCGACTATTGCACCTGACGAAAGTTCTAAAAATCTCTACCGTCTTTAGCATGCAATATTGACTAGGATTCATTTAAGAAGAATTGTTCGGCTCACTATTCACTATAGATATACAACAGTGATGACCAATCACCCGTTCATCTTATCAATCGATAGTCGATCTACCCATAACCGTTCTAACTAATAACTGGTAACCGTACCAACAGGTTACCGCTCTGTCAGTGGCTAGTCTAAATCGAATGGTGTTGCACTGTTATACTAAGTTATACATTGCCAAAAATTATACAAAGAACATTAAACAATTTTTACGTTCAATAAATCGCAAAACAGCTTATATTTATCAAATTGTATATATGTAACCAATCAAGAAGATTTCGTATGTTTTTCGAGAAGCTTTTAAATACGTGGACATGCTTGAGAGGATGGTTTTGAAAATCTATAGAATAGAAAAAGAATTTGTTGAGAATACACGCATTCGTCAACTACCCGCTATATAGCCTTCTGTATGTATCATGTAATAAAAATATGTTTAGAGAACAAATACAAAACGTGTGTAGTTTTCCATTAATCCTTTCACTTCCGGCAACAGAGATTTGTGCGCGAATATATTTATTGAGCATAGTTTGCAATAATACATGTTTAAACCGTTTAGAATGGCTTCTTATCGTTTGTTACATGGTATGATGATAATATAACTCATATTTCTTTTTTTTCTGTTGATATTTTACGCATGCGCGCACGATCCGTATTTTCTATCATTCTAGTGTCTTCTAATGCGACCACTGTTTATGCATTCTTTTTGCGTATTTACTGTGTTTATTCCCTTACGCTGCATAATGGTTTTCTCACTCTACAAAGTTCTCGTTAAATTTATCTATTTTATAAAATCCAGTGAATTCTCTACGATATATATGCTTTGACTGTGATGCACCGCTGTGTATGGTTGATTATTTTGAACACTACCACACAAAGATGAATTATTATTGTTCTTTGAACAAAAAAATAAAATACTCTTGGCAAAAAAATAGAAATCATATAAAAAATATCTTTAGAAATTCTATTTTCGCGGAAAAAAAACGGGAGCTGAATGGTTAAATGGTATTGCTCAGTACTAACGTTTCATATAAAACGAAAATGTTGATAGAAAGATCTATAGTTACTCAACATCGCTTCTCCCCATCTGATCATCTGAAACTGTAATATATTAGTCCGGTAGTCTTTTAGATGTCGATAAAAATAATTATAAGTGTGTTACTTACATATTAGAGCTTTATTTAGTGTAAATTATTATAAAAATAATAAAGCAACTGGTAAGAATCGTTACCAGTTGAAATAGTCATCGATCAGATCGACTATCGATTGATAAGATGAACGGGTGATTGGTCATCACTGTTGTATATCTATAGTGAATAGTGAGCCGAACAATTCNATCAATTTTCTTTTGAAAATCATGATAAGAATATTTTTCTTTCAATTTCATTTTTAGTCTCACACATTTGAACAACGTATATTCAAATTAGCACCAATTCATGTTCAAGATTCGACTATTCTAATGAGTTATTCGAATGTTCTTGCTGGATCAATACTTCACGGTCAAAATCGTCTTTATCCTCTTACACTTGTTATGAAATATGATCAATTACCAATGAATACAATTTGGTCCGATGTACCAGCACGTCGAATTGACTAAAATTAATTTCTTTTGTTTTTATCGTCATGTAAATATTGTAATACGAAATTCTTTTTTCTTTTCAGATTTTTCTCTAAATTTCATTTTTTATTGAAATTCATATTCGATATGACTTGGTGGCTTTTCTTCATATTCTTCTATTTGATCAGTGTGTTATTATTTCATATTTATATTCGTTATTTCTCTGCTCAACGACATAATTTCAATTCGAAATGTTTTCCCGTAATCATTGAACCTTGGTATTTTCCATTTTTGGGTCCAATTCTTTCCATATTAGATATGGAAACATCTCTAAAGAGATGGTGTACAAAATATGGACATAATTTCACATTATTTCTCTTCGGAAAATATTATACAGTGATAACAAAATCAGCTGATTTGAAGAAATATTATCATTCTACAGAAGAAACACTTAGTATGTCGAGAGCTGCATTTCTTCTATTAGGATCCTGATATCCTGAAAGTCAATATATTATTGAATATGATCTTGTACAATATTTACATAGTATTTTGAATTCGAATCATTTGTCAAATATGATTTTAAATACAGAAATGGTAATTAACGATTATTTTAATAATAAAAATGGACAATTTTGGAGTGAAAATGGTGATGAAGTTGTTATTGATTTATTTGATTTTATGTATCGTTTGATTATACGTATCAATTCAATTAATTTCATATCATCAAATATTTACACAAATTATGTTGATGAAGTTATAAAAATTTTTACTGAATTAAATGTCGAAAAAGATATGTTAAATCCAATAATTGAACGAATAAAAAAATACTTCGGATTGAAAACAAAAAAAGATTTTGCTTGGAAACAATGGATTTCACTTCTTATGCCAGAAATTCAACGATCTTTACAAATGATTGAAAATAACATTGAATCAAATAATTTTGATATTATTTATGAAAATGTCAAATATGTCAAAGAACAAATGGATAAACGTGGTGAAACATTTACACCTCATTTAGTCGCTTATTTTGCTTATATGTCAATTGTTCCAGCACAATTGAATACATATACAACATCAGCCTATATAATTCTTGAATGGATTCATCATCAACATGATGAAATTGGTCAACAAATGAAAAATGAAATGAATTATTTATCTCAATATGATCAATTAACTATTGATGATTTAAATTCAATGAAATATATTCAAGCATGTATCTATGAAGTTATTCGAATGCATACGGATTTTCTTTTGAGTTTACGACATGCTGGTGAAGATATTCTTCTTTCTCAAGAGAAATTTATACCAAATGGAAATTTTGTTGTAACACCAATAACTGGTGCACAATATTTATATAAAAATCCATTCGATTTTCAACCTGAAAGACATTTGAAACCACGAGAAGAAATGAAAATTGATCCATATCGAGCTTTACCTTTTGGAAGAGGAAGACATTCATGTGTAGGAGAAAGATATGCAACAATGCAAATTAAAATTTTATTTCTTCGATTGACAAAATTATGCAAATTGGAATTAATGCCACAATCGAATAATTATAAAACAACAATCAATAGAAAACAATTCGATGGATTAAGTCGACCGACAAAACCAGTTTGGATCAAAATTTCCAAAAGAACATTATGAAATGTTTCAGCATACTTTTCATATTTTTATACAACGTAGAGAAAAAAAAAACGGAATTTTCTTATCACTTCTATTGTGTCTCACTCCGTCTTTTATTCATCTTCACTCTATAATTCAATTCTTTGAATTTTAAAAGCATTGATAAATCTATGCAATAGTTGTTGATGAAGAAAACATAAATCCATTACATCATTGCCACGATAAATTCTGATCTTATTGTTCAAAGGAATGATAGTGATTGTTTGTAATAGTCCTGTAAATATAATTAATTGTTTTATCTCCCAACATTCGTCTCAAATTGTATTGATGAGAGTCGAGATCACATCATTCATTGTTGATTTTACATTCATCCATATCAATGCTCCACATACTGATAATCTCCCATTCCAATATTTATCACGAAGTGCATTGACAAGAGTAGAAAATTATGTCGCTCTTTGTTGCTTTTCCAATCATCTTTCTAAGTGCAAAATATGCAGATTGTTTTATTTTCGAATTTTGGTTTCGGAGTAAGTTGATGAATTCAAAAATCACCTCATTCGTTGCAGTGTTTTCATCAATTTTAACAAGTGTTTTATACTAACATAGATAAACAAGCAAACTATTTTCTTTGTGTGACCTTTCGTTCAATCGAGGAAAGATACAAAGTGTAACCAAATTAAATGAAATATGACTACAACTAATCTTTTCATCTTACTGATATTTTGTCGATACAAAGGATTTATATGATTGATTTTTACTTCAAAGTAATAAGATATGTGTTATTTTCAAACTGATTGATGACAAAGAATAATCATTTCGAAAAAGATACATTCGATACAACATTGAATGAAAAGAATTTTATTGAAATCTTAAAAAGTCGCTTCTCCTTTTACAAATTTGGCATTTTATGTCTTTTTGGATTATTTTTGACATAAATATTTTATATTGAAAAACGATTTAATTAAATCAAATAAGGCTTGTCTGAATAGAGTTCCTCCAGTTAATGTAAAAATATAAAATTGCATTGCACTCGCTAAATAAGTTAATAAAAGAACGATATTATAAATAAACATATCAATAGTTGATTGTAATTTTGATTGAGAAGATGAATCGATCAGAACTGCATATAATCTTTGAATTGCTTGTGGAAGTGTTAAACTTCCCAGAAGAAAAACTTGAACTAAAATCATTCGAAGTAAACTACGATCATTTTTTCTCGTTTGAATTTGTAATTCATTGATCACAGATGTTTGAGAATTCGTTATTGACATTTGTAAAACACGACGTTGACTTTGACGAATATTTAAAATTGTTAATAAACCAAAAACAAGCATAACAAGAATCGGAACAATTGTTGTAAAACAAACAAAAGTCAAATCAGCAAGAAGTTGACGAGAATAATTTTTTGCATAACATTTAAATGGTGCATTGATTAAATTTGCATCATAACAATATAATAATTGTCCATAAACAATCATTGATAAGAAAATGACAAAAATTGTTGCTCGATAAGCATTTTTCATTGAACTTTTTTGACGAAAAGATGTTTGAATTGATGATGATAACCAACGATCAATTGTCGCCATGACAATTAACCAGAAAACCATTGCACGAGTGGAAAAAACAACAAATGTACGAAATTTACAAAACCATCCAATTGTATAAGTTGGATCAACAACAAAACCAGATAAAACTCGTGTAATTAAACCAAAATCAATAGAAATTAAACTACAAATTGATGAAATTAAGAAAAAGAATACACAAGGAATTTGACGTAATCGACGTTGACTTAATGTTAAAATATTTAATATATTTCCAATTGTTCCAATTAAGAATATTGTTGTTGGAAAATAACGATTCACGTTGTTTGATATACTCACCAAGAAATTGATTAACTCAGTATCATTTAACGACATTTTCTCGAAAAATAAAGTAAATTGAGAAAGGAGACTTGCTTTTATATAAGAAGAGATTCAAAAGAAATGTCAGAAACGGTTTTTCAATCAAAGAACATGATCAAACTGTCAAATCTTCTTTTTCTTTACATTTTTTTTTGCGAAATAATTTTATTCAAAGATATAGACAAAATATTGCGTTTGATCAATGTCATGTTTTATAAAAATATCTCATATGCGTTATCACATTTCACATGAATAAACATTAAATTCTCATCAATATTTCATTTATTCAAAAGTAAAGACATTTGAAAAATAAAATACATTATGAACAACATTTCTTCAAAGATTTATTTCATCTACAACTTATACTGACGTGAGTTTCAATATGAAATTGTTCATTTTCATTTCGTTCACATTCGAATCCTTATGAATCTTTTCTTCTTTGTCAAGATTTAAATCATCAATTGCGATTTAAATTATTCCACATAGATAAACACAATTTTGTAAAAATAACAATAATTCATTCTGATATTTGAACTAACAAAAGATTTATGATAAAGTTTGATAAGTCCATTATGATTATCACTATGGACTGTATGTGAGGTTAATAGATATTATTAAAAACACAAGATTTCAAGTTTGAATAAAAGAATAACATAGATTTAGTTATTTATATCTGTATTTCATACTGAGAAACATTAGATAGCCATATTTTCGAAGAAATAATAAAAAATATACAATTCATCTTAGAAAAATAATGAAACAGATATACTTTACTAATGTATTCACTCGATTCTGTACATGATATCAACTTATTTTATATACTTTTTTAAATTTCAATCTTCTTGGGAGAAAATAAATTTTTTTCTCTTTTGTTTAATAATTATTCAAAAACTAAGGAAAAGTCATTTAATAAAATTGCTATTAAACTATTCTCTGACAAATCCATGTAAATAAAAAATTTATGATTCAATCATTGTTAATCATCATCTGCAAAATATAAATTCTATATTTTTAGCATTACTAACAAATTCTTATAAACGATAAGAAATAATTGATCAACGCAAATATTTGTAATTAGAAATAAACAATAATTATCATTTACTTCTTGTAGTTATTTAATCATCCCTTTCACTGATATACCACATTCAAAAAAATTTTTCACCTCACTCACACACCCCCTGATTCCGTCGATGTTTCGTTAAAATTAACATCATGTAATGAAAATAATATATTTTCGTTGTTATTACGATTGAAATTATTATGTTTTAAAGAAAATTCGTTTGAGGTAATATAGCTTGAATGGAACTATGATTTAGTTAACGTTAATTGATGTTTGAGTGACTATGAACAATGAATCATCACTTTTAAATTAATAAAGAAATATTAGTGTAACGAAAAAGAAAAGATGTAGAAATATGAACATGATGCTATCATAGGCATTCAACTCTACCGAATATGTATAGCGGTGAAGTAAATTAAGTTAGTTCATTCTTTATAATTCGTTACTGACAAATAGGGAGACATAGCTTTGTGTGTCTTCCGACACGATATTTATTTCACTATAATCCACTTCCAAGTGTAGTCATTACACATACAACACGAGCTTATATATTGGAAAGAAAGGGAACAATACAATTAAATAATCGAATAATGAAAAAGAAATAAAAGGAAAGTATTCAATGATATTAAACATTAGGCTATATAATTGTAAAGATTAATTAATCTTTAATTTGAAGATGCAGTGCTTTAGTTTATTATGAAAAAAATCAAAACGTAGATAATATAATGAAATATATTTTGATAATAAAAAACAGCAGTGTTTGTGGTTGTTCTTGTTGTTACTGTTGTTGTTGATGTTAAAGTGTTCGCGGCTGTAACTGTGGCTGTAGTTACAGTTGTTTTTTGACAAATAACTGGATCAAAATCTTTGTATGTCGCTGATGGATCAAGCGATTCTGATATCCATTGACCTCCCATTGTAAATGCAGCTAAACGTGGGACAGTATCAATAAATGTTTGCCATTCTTTGGATGATTCTGGTGTCCATTCAATATCAAGTAACCATTGCTTTATTTGTGTATAATTAAATGGTAATCTAAATTGGTTAGATTTCTAAGTGAAGTATCTACTAAAATGAAGAAAACTTACGAATAGTTGATTTTTCTAAGTATTGCTTCATATGAATTTATTCGATAACAAGAAGATAAATCTTCGTCAAGTCGAGGATAGTAAGTAAAAAAATGTAAACACATTTCTTCTGATGTTCGTTCTCCACCCTTTAATGAAAATAAAATTTTTGATCTTAGGAAAACTCGAATAAACAACCTTACCAATGTCACTTTGTCTTTATTCATTGTATTATAAATACATCTTGTTGCAAACTCGTCTCCCTTTAAAATAGAAAGAAAATTTTCAAATTCAAAAACTCCAACTAACAAATCTTACGGGAAATATTTGAATTCGTTTTGCTAAACGATTTTCAAATTGATAATTAAAATTATAAGAATCAGCATTGAATAAATAACTAACAGCTGTTTTATTACGAATTAATTTCGTCCACATACTATAACCTGTTCACAATTTATTTCGATTTCTTGAAAGAAAAAAAAACAAATTGATTTACCTTGTAAATGAGTATGTGGAAATGCAGATACGACTGTTATACCAGATTCAGGAATATTCTATTATGTAAATAAATAAAATTTCTATTGATTCAAATGATAAAAAGCATACTTTTGTAGCTGCACGTGGGCAATAAGCATCTATGATGAATTGATCAAGTTTTGGTGGAATAATAATTCCGAAAAAATTTGAAACAGTTCCAAATGTCAGATATCCAAGATCATGTTGTCGAAGTTTTTCGCCAAGATAAAATCGAATTCCTGAACTATCTCTACGATCTAAACTTGAAACGAGTTTTAAGTTTTATTGTAAACATTTCTATTAACTTTGAGTT